TTCTTCTTCCCATCAGCCTTCCTTTCTCACGGTCTCAGCACCTTCCATTCTCTCATTCTGTTATATCGACTTCATTGACTGAAGTCCTATTTTCGTCATTCTTTCTCTCGTCTCTCGTTCGATTCGAACCTAAGATTACGCTGTGCGTTGATCGTTTGGGCAATACTACAAAACCTACAACATGTCTGTCTCTAAGATTGCAGCTGTTCTTCTCAGCTCGGCCGCTCTGGTCGCCGGTCACGGATACGTGTCGGGTGCCGTTGTTGATGGCACATACTACACTGGATACCTCGTCAACCAATACCCTTACATGAGCACCCCTCCTGATAGCATCGGTTGGTCTCAAACCGCTACCGATCTCGGTTTCGTCGACGGCAGCAGCTACTCTAGCGGCGACATCATCTGCCACAAGGGTGCTAAGAATGGTGCCATCTCCGCCGAGATCAAGGCTGGTGGAAAGGTTGAATTCCAATGGACTGAATGGCCTGAATCTCACCACGGACCGGTATGTCTTCATAAGACATCCATGGAACAATTCGTTAGGGTATTAACCTAGTACAGGTCATTACCTACATGGCCAACTGCAATGGTGATTGCGCCTCAGTTGACAAGACTAGTCTGGAATTCTTCAAGGTTGATGAGAGTGGTCTGATCAGTGACTCTAATGTTCCTGGCACCTGGGCCTCCGACAACCTAATCGCCAACAACAACAGCTGGACCGTGACTGTTCCCAGCTCCATCGCCGCTGGTAACTATGTCATGCGTCACGAAATCATCGCCCTCCACTCCGCTGGAAACCAGAACGGTGCCCAGAACTACCCTCAGTGCATCAACCTTAAGGTCACCGGTGGTGGCAGCGACAAGCCTGCAGGTACCCTCGGCACTGCCCTCTACAAGAACACTGACGCCGGCATCCTTGTCAATATCTACCAGAGCCTGAGCTCCTATGACATTCCTGGTCCCGCTCTCTACTCTGGCGCTTCTTCTGGCAGTTCCAACACCGGTGGTTCCGCCTCGTCTAGCGCCGCTGCTCCTTCTGCCACCATCACTCAGGCCTCTACTGCAGTCCAGACTAGCTCTGCGACTGTTTACCAGCCCTCTACTACCACCGAGGCTGTCACCGTTACCAGCACTCCTGCCCAGCAGAGCTACGTCCAGGCTCCTACCGCCACCCCTAGCTCCACTGCCAGCAGCCCCAGCTCCAGCTCCAGCACCACTCTTCCCAGCGGCAGCAGCCTCACCGAGTACTTCAACTCCCTCAGCGCCGATGATTTCCTGAAGGTCCTTAAGGAGACCTTCTCTTGGCTGGTTACGGAGAAGGTGCACGCTCGTGATCTCTCTGCCTAGATCAAAGCACTTCGAACGAATCGACAAGCCCTTCCCTGCACATTTAACTTTTGTGCATCGCACCTCTGACGAGTTTTCTTTTTCAAACATACATATATGGGATCGGGTATCCTTTTTGTACTTTAGATGCAACACAATCATTGGAGCTCTTGCTCTATGCTGATCAATTTTTGCTGCTTGTTTTACACCTGTATTACTAAAAGTAGAATGCTTGTAAAGTAAATCTACTCTGAACATTGATGTTCTAACTTGTTATTCTCCAACGGCCTTAACTGTCCCTTTAACTATTAACTTCACTGTAGGCTGTTTCATATATCTATCATCTTCCGCAGAAAATACAGGGAGCTTTATCATTCTATATGTATAAGAAAGCATGATTCCCCTTACCTACATCTCTCCTTCATCTACTTCTCTCCAAGACAACTGCGTCAAGCATGGCGTAGCAAACGGAGAAGCTGCTCTTGGCTTGCTATTCTTCGTCTTCTTTCTAGGCCACAATTTAGATAGTACACCTCTGTTTCCATTAACAGTTACCAGGATCCCGGGCTGCGTTAATTGTTAACATGCTCCAGTGCAATAGGCCTGGACGGCGGCCATTTAAATGATCTTGAATTCTTGATCCTTGAGTTGAAAGTGGTGGTTTGGAAAATTGTGCAAAGAGACGGCAGCAGCACAGTCTGCAAGGAATTTGTGCAAAGCCCTTCGCCCTCCTTATGTGCAAATGTCACTTCATAATGAAGACGAGTATACCTCTGGTACCTTATGCCTGGACTAGTGCGTAGAGAAACAAGACAAGATTGACCTCAGAAGCGGGGAAAATGCGGCCGATTGTTGTTGCGGACAAAAACCGAACTGACATCAACTTTTCCTTTTTGTTCCAGCGTCTTTTGTACCCTTCTTCCACGAGCCCTGTTCTGAGCAGGCTGTGTTTATCAGTATCAAGCAGCTTGAGACAGACTCATATCCTATTTCTGGGCCTCGTCATACACCACCATGTTCAAGAAAAAGCCGACAGTATGTTGTGCCCCTCCCCCGCATTTCTCCCCTCGCTGGCAGTCAGTCCAAGTCGTAGAATGACAACTTTATACTCACTTCTCAAACTATAGATCAAGAATCTTGCGCCCTTACGCTCCTCGGACCGCCGCAAGATCGCCGATCAAATCATCAGCGACTACAATATCAGTATTCCGTCAGCTGCACCAGCCGAGGATGACTCCAATACTCCAACCACGTCGAACCAAACCTCGCCCAACATCACAGCGATCCGAAACTCCCTTCTTCCGGAAAACTCGCTCTCTGCTCGCTTCACCACCACTGCAGGGCCCCAGCTCCGAGAAGTCCAAGGCACAGTTTACGTAGGAACGCATCCCGAGGGTGAGGAACGCATTTTATGGTTCAAGGTGGAACATGGGCCCGGAGCCGATGGACGATTCTATCCCACGGTCTACACATTATGGCACAATCCCAACCTAGTGCCCTTGCTTCACACGCCGGAAATGGTCATGCAGAAGCTCCGTGGCGGCGCAGACCTGATGACCCCCGGCCTCGCGGATGAACCTCCTTTTCCTGAGCGCGCGGTCAAAGGAGCTGTTGTCGCTGTGGCTGGTTTGGACCGACACACTGTCCCGTTATTTGTGGGAGTCTGCGAAATTGATATCGCGGGACTTGGAGAGGTTCAGGGCACGAAAGGACATGCCGTCCGAGGCGTACACTGGGAAGGCGATGAGCTGTGGGCCTGGAGCTCGTCTTCTCGTCCTGGACAGCCTGCTCCTGAATATCTGGCTGGGTGGGATTTGGAAGCGGGCGAGGAAGACGTCGGGGAAATTGAGGAGCGAGTCATTGAGCTTTCCTTGGACAAAGATCAGCAGACGCAACCTGCGGAGGAGGTGCCTCAAGCCGAATCTCTCGAGCAGCAGCATGACGAGGCAGCTCCCGTTGAGGAAGCGAAAGAACCTTCTACAAAAGGTCGGCGCTTATTATTTCCGTCTCGGTCTCGGTATTTCGTTCTTAAACTGACCAATTTGCAGAGATCGACGAGGCTTTTGAGAAAGCCTTCCTCTATTCTCTGTACAAACTGAAACAGGACAACCCCACCGCACCGAACCATGGCCTGTCCCTGCCCGTGCAACCATCCGCCCTTGTCTCGAACATGCTTACTCCTTACCTTCCGATTTACTCTCCTCAGCAGGCTCAATACTATCAGATCAAGAAGACAAGCTGGAAGAATGTCAAAAAGTTCATCAAATATCTTGATAAGCAGCGTCTCGTCAAATCCAAAGACCGCAGCGGACAAGAAACTGTCATCCTCGATGTGGATTTCAACGACCGCCGCGTCGAGCGATTTGTTCCTTACAAACTTCCATCAAAGAACGCCGTTGAGAATGCGGGCAAGCCCGTCCCCGGAAACAAGACGCCTGCAACTTTGGAGGGAGACCCTTCCGTCGGACAGACAATAACCGTTCAGACTCTTTATCGGCCAACGGGAAAGCTTACCCCGACAATCTTCCCAGCTCTTTCGAGCGGCGACCCCAGGAACTACTACAAGTATTCTGAAGTGTCCAACCGTTTGGACGAATACATTCAGTCTCAAAACCCGCCTATTGTCTCCAGTGAGAACCGCCGGGTCATCTCGCTCAATCCTTTCCTTGCAAACACAATCTTCACATCTTCATCAGCCGAGGACAAGACCACCATTGCACGTGGCATGACGACCCGAGATGGCCTCTTGAAGCGGATCGTGGAAGACTCGGCGTTTTTAACTCCACACTATGTAATCCTCAGGCAGGGTCAGGCCCCATCCGATGTGAAACCGAAAGCAGGTGCAACTCCCAAGGTCAACCTCGTTCTCGAGAAGCGGACAGGTTCGAAAACTGTCACCAAAGTTTCGAATTTGGAGATCTTCGGTATAGTCCCTAGTCTGCTGGCTGAAGAACTGCAGAAGAAATGCGCTAGCAGTACCAGCGTTGCCCAGGCCACTGGAGCCACCAAAGGCGTGATGGAGGTCCTGATTCAAGGCGACCAAAGGAAGGCTGTGGAAACAGCGCTGCAACGACGTGGTGTCAAGACGCAGTGGATTGATGTGGTGGATAAGACGAAGAAGAAGAAATGAACCTTCTGAGGGAAGGCATATTGTATTTAGCGATTGGATAAAGCATTGATCAATAATTGGGTATACCCCATGCCTTTGAACGGAAGAATTACATGCATCTCTTCTTCATAAAGACATCCTTCATAACGGTAGATTTGACTCCCAGGCTCTTCATCATGAAACTCCCTTGTAGTCATTTCGACAGGTGAGGTTGCTCCATCAGGCCATTTGTACTAAATGCTCACTTGTCCACCGATTCTAGTAGTCACGGTCGACCCAGGAATCTTTCAGCACAAGGAGGCTCACAGCCTAGTTTCACAGTTAACGCCGCAAGCAAGATGGCTGCAACAGACCAATTGCCCGTTTCATCAACGGAAGATCATTCAAAGCCGTCTAAAACCAAATGATTCCACCAATCGGCGATAACCCGATTCCCCGACCCCTCCCGGTCCGAGAAGCATAGGGAAACATTCCGTCCCATCTATATAAGAGCCCGCTGTTCCCGCAAGTAGTCGAGCTAATCAAGAAATAGATAAATCGATAGAGAGAAGTCTAAACCGAGGAAATGCCAGTCTACCACATCGGTGCGTACCCTGCTACCCTGCTGCCACCAAGCGCATGATTGACCAGTGGCAGTTCTCTTCCGCCTCAAGCCAGGCGTCACGCAGGCCCAGCTCGCCAACTGGGTCACTGTTGCGGAGAGCATGGTGGGTAGGATCCCCGGTTTGGTTTCGTTGAAGGCCGGGCAGCCGTTGCCTATCAGTGTTCCCCGTGCCAAGGGGTTTGATATGGGGATCGTGGCGGTGATGGAGTCGCCCGACGCCGTGGCTTCTTACGCTACGCACCCGGTCCACCTTGAGTTTGTTTCCGCCTTCCTTGTGACAGGTGTGTTCGAATTGGCTAATTCGGGGCTGTAGGGTGTCGAAGCTGAGAGAGGAGTTGTGTGACGATACGCTGGCATATGACTTGGAGTTCGAGAATTGATTTACGAGAGTATAAGTGCAAGTGCGGTGGGTGGAGGCTGAAGAGCCAAAATTCTATCATGACCATTTGCTAGATCCTGCAAAGAATAACCTCCAAGTATTAATGATGACAACAAATGATATACAACGCCATTAAGAAACCAGCAGCAAAAGACGCAAGTGCTTTTGTTGTACCATAACAAATGGGAATAATCCATTAGCTCCGTGATGAAGGAAGGGTGGGACCAGTCGGGGAAACTTGAATAGAAGAGAGCAAAGCCGTTACTCCTTGGCATCGACCTTCTTGGCAGGGTGCTCGCCGTTGGCAGCGGCCTCGTCCTCGCGGGTCCGCTTCTGGCCAGCTGTAGCATCATCGGCGGTGCTCTGCACGACGGGAACGCCACTATAAGTGAATTAGTCAAATGCTGCAAGACCGGGAGAAAGAGGCTACAACTTACCGAGCATCCTTCTGGACCTCACGGCGCTGCTCGCCCTGAGGCTTGCCGAAGCCGTTCTTCCGATCTTCTGCCCGACGCTCGCGCCAGTCGCGCTTGTCACCACCGCGGGGTCCTCCACGGCCGCGTCCGCGGAAACCACCACGGCCACGGCTGGGCTTGATGCGGCCAGCTTCGATGTCCCGAACCTTCTCCTCACAGTAATCTTTCTTGCTCTTAATGAGCAGATCCTGTCCCTTCCACTGGGGCTTAGGATCCAGAGCAAGGAATTCCTTCTGCTTCTCCTCAGTCGCGAACTCCACAAAAACGCTTCCCTTGAAGATCCGATCGTGTGTGCGGCGGAGACGAATTGCGTTGATTGGTCCGTAGGGAGCGAAGAAGGCCTCAATGTCAATTTGGGTGGTAGGAGTTTCCTCTCCGAAGCCCTTGACGTAGATGCTACGGCTCATGGCCTGGTCTTCGAAAACCTTGGCCACGCTGGGGTCGGGGTTCTCGGTCACAGATTCAGGAAGAGGCACCTTGCGGCGCACGCAAGTGTCGTTATCAGTCAGCTCGACAGTCTCAGAGGACTTCAGAGCCTCAACAATGGCGCTGAAGGGCTGGAAGCGACGCATGCGCTTGAAAGAATGAAGAAGTTCGAGGGGAACGGGGCGGTTGCTGCTTCCGCCCACCTTGGAAAGAAGGAACTTGTCCATGGGAAGGTTTGAGTCGGAGAAGTAGAATTCGACCTGCTTGCGGATCTCATCGTGGTTGTCTGTGACCTCCAGCGTAGAGGGATCAAACTTGACGTTGTTGCGACGGTTTCCACGGCCCCGCGTATCGCGCTCCTCGGTCTTGCCCTCCTTCTGCTCCTCAGCTTTCGCTGACTGTTCGCCGAGCTTCGCAGCGGCGGCTACAATGCGAGCCTCCTCTGCATCTTCTGCGGGAGCTTCGCCCTTCTTCTCTTCTGCGGGCTGCTCGGAAGGCTTGGCAGCTTCCCCGGCGGTTTCGCCCTTCAGCTCTGCCAAAACGTTCTGAACATCCTTCTCGGCCTCAGCATTGGCATTGGTGGTCGCAGGGGTAACCTTCTGCTCGTCGGCCATGACTGCAAATTTATCCCGAGTGCTTCGACTCCGTACAAGCGGAAAGAGAGAATGGGAGAAAGGGCCGCGCAGCTCCTGTACTCGATCAGACTAGGTCAGCACACAAACGAATTATTCTCGACCTCCGGATTCAAAACAAAAGACGGAAAAATGAATTTAAAGTTATTGAACAGAAGGTGACAATAGATAAATGTGAGTCAACTCCGCGTAGTCCAAATTCGATATGACTCCGCGCGAGTCGCGCGAAGCATAAGCAATGCACAACATAGTAGTCTTACCTCCAATTAAAAAGCCTTGTAGTCTAGGGGGGAAAATATGCAGCAGTAGAAGAAAGTTCAAGAAGATGCTTCTGCACACAATGAGAATCGGACTTTCCTCTGGTTAGAAGAAAGAAAATCTTCAAGGCGAATAATGCACGGCGGGGGAAATTTTCTGAACACTGCGGAGCTTCAGCCACATGGAGAATCGAGGACTGTGGCGCATGCGGCTCCTAGTCCCGATACGAAGATGTTACTCCACAGACACCTCAATTACGAGGCAGAAATACTAACCCTTTTGGGAGATTCGATATGCATAGAGTAAGCTCCGAAGGACATCTCGACTCCAGACTCATTCTTATCGACAATCCACAAGGCAAGAAGGGCTGAATTATGCTCACGGATGCCAAGTCACTGGATCATGTGTACCAACAGTGCTATTGCGTTTTCTGCTTTACGCCGGCTGGTCCAGGCCCAGCATGGACGCTCTGTCGCGAAGTCAGGGTGCCTCTTTGAGCGTGCCTTCCATACTTGGATCATGGGAGTCAGTTGCCACATACGGCGCTGAGTGTCTTTAATGTTGAGAAACTTCATGACTCTTGTGTGTCTGATTCATAATACATCATCACTTTGCTCGATTTTGGATTAAACTCCCGTGGGTTGAAGAGTAGTGATTGCCCCGTTGTTTGATGTCTCTCCAATCTGCAACTGCTCAGATCGGTTCCCTCTGATTTCTTGTCAGCTTGAGCAGATCATCTGGCGGCCCGGACTTGCTCTATCTGTTCTCCAAGCACATCTTGACGTGAGCAGGTAACAAGCCCTGGCATCGAACCGAAGGTCTGCCAATAGACCCGTTAATCGATGCTCAGCTAGGCCCCAGTTGATCAAGCAAGCCAGCGGCAAGTGGTTGCTTACCGAAGCTCCAGTCGAACGTCTTGACTTTATTGCATCCTTCAACGCTATCACTGGAATCTGGAAGGAAGACCTACATACACCATCCAGCGATGGCTGAAAGTAGCAGTTCGGTTTCTCCGAACCCGTGGTCGACCACAGATGTGAGTTGGTCCATCAGTTGAATGCACTGGATTTGATCTCACGAGAAGTCTAGATAATATATCTTGCGATCGTCTCGCCAATGGTACTGGCAGCCTTCTTGGAATGGTTCCTCTGGATTGCTGCGTTCTTATACTGCCTTGCCAAGGTCTATCAAAAAGCGGATCACTGGAGTATCAGATTCCTCGCGGTCACCATGATTGTCCTCTTCACATTACTGAGGTGAGCTTCAATATGACGAGCCTTCTCGAATAGATTATGCATGCTAATTTGGCACACAGGGGAATCTTTCTGCCTGTCATGATCGTGACCCTCCCCCTCCCAGCTCATTTGAGACGACGTTTCCCCGCTCAGATGGTAATTATACTCCAATGGTTCGCATTCGGGATGTTTTCCGCGCTGCTTATAATTCCTTGGCTTTTGTGCGTCTACAGACTGGTGACACATTCACCGGGCAGGACCAGGCGTATCAAGCAGGTTTTGGATGACCGGACCGCTCCCAAAACGGTTGTTGTTATGCCAGTCTATAAGGAGGCCCCTGAAACGTTAATAAGGGCAATCGATTCTGTGGTTGATTGTGATTATCCAGCTAACTGTATTCATGTGTTCCTCTCTTACGATGGCTGCCTCATTGATGAATCCTATCTTCGGGTGATTGACCACCTTGGAATTCCAATCACGCTGGAGAGCTATCCACAAAGCATAGACGTGACATACAAGGGCGCCAGAATTACAGTGTCTCGTTTCAAACATGGGGGGAAACGACATTGCCAGAAGCAAACTTTCAGACTGATCGATATGGTATATGCGGATTACCTGGAGCGCCACGACAATCTTTTCGTGTTATTCATTGACTCCGACTGCATCCTTGACCGTGTATGTCTGCAAAACTTCATGTACGATATGGAGTTGAAGCCAGGGAGCAAACACGACATGTTAGCAATGACGGGTGTCATTACGTCGACCACGGATCGGGGCTCGCTCCTCACGCTTCTGCAGGACATGGAGTATGTCCATGGGCAACTTTTCGAGCGCTCTGTGGAATCTAGCTGCGGCGCTGTGACTTGCCTCCCCGGGGCTCTGACGATGCTCCGGTTCTCTGCCTTTCGTAAAATGGCCAAGTACTACTTCGCGGACAAAGCCGAGCAATGCGAGGACTTTTTCGACTATGGGAAGTGTCATCTTGGAGAAGATCGCTGGCTCACACACCTGTTCATGGTAGGCGCTCGGAAACGTTATCAAATCCAGATGTGCGCAGGCGCCTTTTGCAAGACTGAAGCAGTGCAGACATTCAGCAGTCTTTTAAAGCAGCGTCGGCGCTGGTTCCTGGGCTTCATAACCAACGAAGTGTGTATGCTGACTGATGTGCGGCTTTGGAAGCGCTACCCCCTGCTCTGCCTGGTCCGTTTTATGCAAAACACAATCCGAACAACCGCACTGCTGTTTTTCATCATCGCGCTCTCACTTATAACAACGTCGAGCAGCATCAATGACCTGCCCGTGGGGTTTATTGCCATATCGCTGGGACTCAACTACGTCCTCATGTTCTACTTGGGTGCGAAGCTCAAGCGCTACAAAGCTTGGCTTTTCCCGCTGATGTTTATCCTAAATCCCTTCTTCAACTGGCTGTATATGGTGTATGGAATCCTCACTGCGGGCCAGCGTACATGGGGAGGACCGAGAGCCGATGCCGCCACCGCCGATGAGCACACTTCGCCTGAGGAGGCTATCGAACTGGCTAAGGCTCAAGGCGACGAGCTCAATGTCGATCTGACTACCTTCCGTTCCAGAGGGGATGAGAAGAGCGTTCCAATCCATCCCTCAGAGAAGATAGAAGGGCGCTTCTCTGCACCAGAGCTCCCCGATGGTTACTCCTCGAACCTGAACGACTCCAACGCTGCCCTTACCGAGCTGATGACGCCTCTTCCCGGTGTGCCGCGGATAGGTATCCATACATATCCGTCCTCCGACTCAATCATAACCTCGGACTCGCTGAGCTCGATCCACCTTCCCCTTAAGGTTGAAGAGCTGACCGGTGATACTGACAATATGGAACCCTATTACGATCAGCAAACAAGGGACACGTCGACTTTCCACCAGATGCAGAGGACTTGTTCTAACGGAATCATGGCCAGTGATTCATGCTCTTCACAAGAAGATGCTTTTGAGGTGGTAAACAAGACTCAGATACTGTCACCTTCAGCTCATATCCTGCCGCATTCATCACAAGCCACGGAGTCGTCATCCGGAGAGGATATATACCCACTTCACTTGCCAGCGCCACACGAACAAGAGACACGGTTTGCTCCTATCAATGCTTCAACCAGAGGTTCAATGGAAAGAAACACCCCAGAGGTACAGCGACCCCGCCGTAAGCTCCCAGGGATTCCACGGCCTATCAAAGCACAGAAAGATGCCGAAAGTATGGTCTAGGGTGCTTGCACACGTCGTAAGGCATCTGTGTCAAAGCTCAAATGTCCTAGGGAAGCGGGTCCATGCACGTTGATAGTCAGTTGAGAAAGCTCCACCGTCGAGACTACCATTACGGTTTTAAGAGATTCGGTCAACCCTTGCAGAACAGTTCTGTTGCTTTCTTATCCTCTTATTTTGGAGTTGCTTCGAGAAACACTTTTTGTACTTCATGCTTTGTCGTCCAGCCTTACGTACGTCGCTTTGATAACACGAAGTAGCACACTCCTTTTAGACTAAACTTATTTGCCTTGTTTGCTTGGGTAGCAGAGTATATAACTTCTCGAGAAGAAGAAGCATAGTCCTTTCAACCACTAGCCAGAGACGACCTTCCAGAGTAAGCGTAACTGAAGCAGAGGCGCTTTTTGGGAAGTCTGAGGTCATATGCAAGCTCTGCCTCCCCTCGCTAATTGCAACATTCAGACATTATCATGGCCTCGAGTACTAATTTCTATTCAAAGATACGAAGGCTTCCAAGAGATCATAGTAGACTCAATTCCTTCTGGTGAGATTTTTGACGACAAGCCTTTCACTGCGCCGATTCCCTGCTGGAGAAAAACCACAGATCTCTGGCCTTCGTTACCCGCTCCGCTGCCTGAAACGGCAGATTGACTTACATTCAGCATGCTAATACCAGTATTACTGCCCTGAATTGGGCGTACCCGTGGTCTTGAAGGAGATTGGCCGTTCTCTGCTCAAACCTGCCGATACGGGACGATGATGGGCAATCGGGAGCTATGCGCTGAGGGGGTTCTCACGAGCTGAGTAAACAAATCGAACACAACAGCGCTGTACATACAGCTAGACAGGTAGATAGCTTCTAATCGCGGGTCATGACCTTCGCTTCTTGTTGACTGTGTCACAAGGCTTGTTTACTATCGTCAGGGCACACTTGGGTACCTTGACCCAATCATAGGAGGAAAGAGGCAGAACGGCTCCTGACATATGGCAGGCATGTGCGTTTTCTTCACGGCAATTCTCCGGGAGGCAGCATCGACAAGTACGTCAACCACGGCCATGGCCAAGATCCATTACCTGATGGTTAATAACAGTGTGCCTTGCCCAGCCCACTTCTTTGTTTGCTGTTAGTCAAAATCGATGGTGATTGGTCAGGTGACTACTTATTTAAGGTAATCGATAAGGCGGCGGAACCCGCCAAAAGCGGTGAGTCAAGGGAGGATACTGCCGGTGACACCCCTCTTGGCGGTGTGACGCGGGAAGATTCGAGTATGAGCCAGAAGGTTCGACAGGCAGCACAGGGGACAGTTTGGGCTTCAGGAACAGGCATAACTAAGAGTAATTGCCCCAGATTGAGTCAGATTCTGGGAGGTAGAGCAGTATAAGAAATCTTATGAGATTGATGATCGTGTGCCCGTTGAGACTATAGAATCCTCAGTTTATTGCAGATCGTACGTGCCCAAAATTGTCAGGAAGAAAAAAATCTGACTGACCGCTTGACGACACAGAAGAACCCACGTTTGCCCCTAGCCACAGCTCATCCGCTTATCACCGCGCCCTGATAGCAGTGGCGCTATTGCAAATTCTCCCCTCTTCGCTCTTTTCTTGCTTAGGATCTTCCAACGTTTCCCTCCAACCTCAATATAGACAACTTCCTCCCTCAACACCTCCCCGCATCATCCCCCCTTTCTCACGGCCCGATTCATATTTATCGCCTAATTTATCCACACAATGAGTGTCGTCGGTATCGATTTCGGTGCCCAGAGCACCAAGATTGGTGTTGCACGGAACAAGGGTATTGATATTGTGCGTATATGCCCCTCAGCTGCATTTGTTCAATATTTTGAATCAATTGCTGGAACAGCTCGCGCTAACGCTTTTGTCTATCCACAGATCACCAATGAAGTCTCCAACAGATCTACTCCGTATGTGCTAACTTTCCCATCAGATCTCTGCCCTCATAGCGCGGTGCTGACTATATTTTCAATGTAGGACTCTGGTCGGATTCGGCGCCAGAAGCAGACAGATTGGCGAGGGCGCAAAGACACAAGAAATGTCCAACCTGAAGAACACGGTCGGCAATCTCAAGCGTCTCATCGGCCGTTCATTCAACGACCCCGACGTGGAGGTTGAGCAGAAGTACACCTCAGCGGCTATCTGTGATGTCAACGGTCAGGCTGGTGTTGAAGTGAGCTACCTGGGCAAGAAGGAGAAGTTCTCGGCGACACAGCTGGCCGCCATGTACCTGACCAAGATCAGAGACATCACATCCAAGGAGCTGAGGCTTCCTGTCTCCGACGTCACAATCAGCGTTCCCGCTTGGTTCACAGATGCTCAGCGTCGCGCCATGATCGACGCCGGTGAGATTGCCGGTCTCAAGGTTCTGAGACTCATCAATGACACCACTGCTACCGCCCTCGGCTACGGTATCACCAAGCTTGATCTCCCCGGTCCCGAGGAGAAGCCCCGCAGAGTGATGTTCGTCGATATCGGACACAGCGACTACACTGCCTCCATTGTTGAGTTCAGAAAGGGTGAGCTCAACGTCAAGGCTACCGCCTACGATCGTCACTTTGGTGGTCGTGACTTCGACAGAGCCCTCACCGAGCACTTTGCCGATGAGTTCAAGGAGAAGTTCAAGATCGACGTCCGTTCCAACCCCAAGGCGTACGCCCGTACCCTTGCTGCGGCCGAGAAGATGAAGAAGGTTCTCTCCGCCAACCCTGCTGCCCCTATGAGCATCGAGTCACTCATGGAAGACGTTGATGTCCGTTCCATCGTCAAGCGCGAGGAGCTCGAAACCATGGTCAAGCCTCTGCTTGAGCGTGTCACTGCCCCCATCGAGGAGGTTCTTGCTGAGGCCAAGCTCAAGCCTGAGGACATGGACTCGATCGAGATGGTCGGTGGCTGCACCCGTGTCCCTGCTATCAAGGACGCCATTGCCAAGTTCTTCGGCAAGACCCTGTCCTTCACCCTCAACCAGGACGAGGCCATTGCTCGTGGTTGCGCCTTCAGCTGTGCCATCCTCTCCCCCGTCTTCCGTGTCCGTGACTTCTCCGTGCACGACATTGTCAACTACCCCATCGAGTTCACCTGGGAGCAGTCGGCCGACATCCCCGACGAGGACACTAGCCTCACTGTCTTCAACCGTGGCAACGTTATGCCTTCGACCAAGATCCTCACATTCTACCGCAAGCAGCCTTTCGATTTGGAGGCTCGCTATGCTAAGCCCGACATGCTTCCTGGCAAGATCAACCCTTGGATTGGCCGTTTCTCCGTCAAGGGTGTCAAGGCTGATGCCAACGACGACTTTATGATCTGCAAGCTCAAGGCTAGACTGAACCTGCACGGTATCCTGAACGTTGAGTCAGGTTACTACGTTGAGGATGTGGAGGTTGAGGAGCCCGTTGATGAGGACAAGATGGACACTGATGCTCCCGAGGGCGAGCAGGCCAAGAAGACGCGCAAGGTCAAGAAGCAGGTTCGCAAGGGTGACCTGCCCATCTCCACCGGCACCAACGGCGTTGACCAGACCGTCAAGGAGACCTGGATCGAGCGTGAGAATGCTATGTACATGGAGGACAAGTTGATCGCCGAGACCGACGAGAAGAAGAACGAGCTCGAGTCGACCATCTACGAGCTCCGTGATAAGATCGACGGCGTCTATGCCGAGTTTGCCAACGAGGAGGAGAAGGACAAGCTGCGTGCCAAGCTGACCGACATGGAGGTGAGTACAATGTTCACGATTTCATAGAGAAACGCGAAGAACTCGAAAGCTAACGCTCTACATAGGACTGGCTCTACGAGGAGGGCGAGGACACTACCAAGTCCGTCTACGTTGCCAAACTGGATGAGATCCGCTTCATCGCTGGTCCCATCGCCCAGCGGTACAAGGAGAAGGTCGAGGCCGAGCGCCAGGCTATCCTGAAGGCCCAGGAGGAAGAGGCGGCCAAGAAGCGCGCCGAAGAGGAGGCCAAGCGCAAGGCTGAGGAGGAGGCCAAGAAGGCGGAGGAGACCAAGCCTGATGAGGAGATGAAGGATGCTCCCGCAGGAGGCGAGGCCGCCCCTGCTGAGGGCGAGGAGAAGCAGCAGTGAAGAAAAAGTCTTTTACCCTTTCGATATCAAATGAGTACGACTCTCGCATATAAAGCCTGATGACAATGGCCTTGAGACGGTGAAGCAATACATCCGATACATGATTCTCTTTTCTTGTGAACTTGTTTTATCTTCTCTGTTACTTTTATGCTGTAGAATGTTGTCTTGGTGATCTTGTTTTTCAAGACCTACCTAGTCATTTTGGCACTGACACCTACATGCGAGCGGCTGAACTGAAGCTGTGGCTCGCATGACTGTGGCCCTATCGGATTATGATTCATGAGAAAAAAGCACACGACGGAAGACTTAGATATATGAAGCGTGGATAGAGTTCAGGCAGCCAATTTGTTCTCTTGTTCTCTTGTTTTCTTCGAGTCCATCATTGATGTAACATGTACAACGTACACTCTGGTTGAGACGGCGAATTACTAGAAGCGGTATAGCGTGCCTATTTGGGGAAAGCGCGTGTTTGAGGCTTGGCAACGTGGTGCGTGGTCTATATAGTTTCCTCCATGCCCTCTCGAGATTATGGCCAACTTCGTCGCTGTTTCCCCACCCTTTCGCGGCCTTCCGGCTCAAGACATTGAGCCATTTTTGCTATCGGGCTGTACATCCCGTGTTCTGCACTTCGCCACCTCCTTTTGCGCCCATGAGTTGTCTTCGCGGCCCTGGCCTGACTTCCATTGGATCTCGTGAGAGTGAATTTTATGCTTGCTTGGGAGCTTGACTGACGTATGATCCTTTTTTTTTGATAGATAATACGGCATGAGAAAACAGAGATTGCATAGAACTGGTGTTATCAGACTACTCTGAGCAAACCAACATGATTCCTATCCGGAAGAAACGAAGTCCAAGAAGCGGCTGATATGCATATTGAATCTGGATTTGAATCTCAACTGACTGAGAAGAGTGAGACTAAACAGTCCATGGCGCTAGACATACGCTATGGAAGTAGTGAGGAAGAATATGTGATCGATCAGTAATGCGACGTGCTCATGCCATATCGGATCCTATGGTCATGTGGAGACACTCCCACAATTGGGCCATGGGAGTTCTTCTTGCCTGCTTCACCACTTTACTTTGCTGGACCCTGCCCTTTTTCCAGTGTCTATAGCAGTTGTTGACACCATGGCTCGCGAATCTTAGCATGCAAACAAGAGCCTCCCGCCCCCGTCCGACTGAGCCTGGGACCCCTTGGAAGAACTCGTCAACATGATACGATCTCTCGTAGAAGTGTCCGTACCAGTTCACGGCGGCAGAGGTGGCAACGCACGCGCACCAGATGGCCGAGTCCGAGGGCTGGCTGAAGCTGCGGGAGCATACGCACCAGCTCGTCCGGTCGAATGACGGCGGGGTGCCGTCCGGGGTGGCATGGTATTCTAGTACGAGTTGATGATTGGTTAATCAAACCGTGTTACCGTCAAGCACACCGATCTTGCCCGGCCAGTAAGTGAGAGAAGTTGGCAATCATTGTGGTATTTCTCTCCTTCTGCTCAGTATCGTACGAAACAACTTGGATCGATAGCAGCAACTCAAGGATATCATTACTCATGACCATCACCGGCATCCAATCCACTAAATAACCATATTCAGCATCCGCGTCTCCCTAACCGACTCCCCTTCAGCCCCTAGATACCGCCCGGTTTTGAAGCTGCAATTATGAACAGTCAGCGATGCCCTTCCATGGTTTCCAGTGCAGTTTACCTCCAGTACAGATTTCCCAGCGCAACGTTGCGACACGCATCCACGAATTTCAGGACTTGGCGATCCGTCTCCTCGCCCCAGACGGGCAGATTCGCCAAGGCAGTGTACCAGCGCTTGTAGCAGTCGTTCAGCATATCGCTGATGCCGTCGATGGCCTTTTGCATTGAGAGCCCTTTTTCTTGGAGGAGGGTGATGAGGTTGTGGTCGACGCCGAGTTTCTGCTTCGGTCAGGCCTCCAACATATTACCTATCTACCGAACCTTGGGGAGACTTACGAGGTCCTTCTTGTAGGAGAGAATATCGTTAACCCTAACAGAATCAGCTCCCTTGACTGAAAAAAAAAAAAAAAAAAAAAAAAAAAAATGCAATGCCAGGGCTCACAGAAGAACCAGGTCCGCTGAGATACAAATGCATTCCTGAAGGGAAGGATGGTCGACGATGCAATTCGGGAGATCGATCCCGAGGCCATACCTCCAGCACAATTAGCATTGCACCGTGATGGAGAGAGGCCTACATACTCGGTTAGGGCAATGGCCGGGTAAGCGCCGATTGTGAGTCTCCGCATATTCATGTACTCCTTGACGTCGCGGGAAAACGTCCGTTGTTCCTGCATGACTTTCACCTGGGCGATCAGACCGTCGAAAAACCGCTTGTGCATTTCTTTCCACCGTATTTGCAGCTCTAGTGGCATTAGCAGGCGCGCAAGAGGCTGACATGGCTTCTTACCTGGGGATGCCCTCTGTTTCAGACGGTCCCATGTCGTCTGGAAAACGTATCGGATGGGGTTGAGACGGGAGGCTCCGTGTCAGACATGATGGCCATTGTTCGGTCGATCTCGTCCTGCGCGGCCTGCAAGTCTGTACTGAGATGGCCCTCGTCGAATTCTACAAAAAGTAATATGATCAACAAGCTGACACCCTTCACCTGCGGAGTTGGAATTAGGACACACGGTCATCAAACAGGAATACCTGCATCTTCATGGTTAGCTACATTACCCCAACCGAAGCAAGTTGACTAACCCAGTGGTTCCAATCGACCATCATCCTCAGCGCCTCATCGTCACAATAGGGCGCCCATATGGACGCCAGGAAACACAGATCTACCCTGGAGTTCCTGGACGCCCGCTGCTGATCGGCAAAGATGATCCTGGGCTAGATATCAATACTCAATTCGGGATTGAGGACGCTGCGATGCGCACCTGGTAATCCATGCGTCGGCCTTGGGCTTCACTTCGTGGTAGTACGGGTTTACGACTGGCTTCGCGGCCATGATGGAAGAGAACATGTCGGGCACGAAGACGAAGTCATGCTTTGCGTCTTGGATCTCGTCATTAGTGGTCTCCGAGTTTATGGTAGCTGGGGACCCGGCTGAGGAATTGGAGTGGATATCGGACGAGTGGGAGACGTCTGAAGAGTGTATCTCTGTCTGATTCATAAGGTCGATTGGATCGTCAGACGGGGTCATCATGGGCATGGGCTCAGTGGTAACGTCCATTGTCAACGACATACTGCCCTGCAGTGCTTCACTTGGAACAAGGAGTAATGAGATCTCAGAATGACAAAAAATGGCTTTATGTACACTCAAACAAAATTCGTATCGAGTCAAGTATCACGAGTCAGCACGTAACAAGCCGCAGATATCTCCTCTCAATGCTACAGCTGTGCCTTGCCCATCGAACAGCCTGCAGTCTCTCACAGCAAGGCGAACTCACGCCGGTAATTCCTTGATCGGATGGCAACGGTGGCTTGCCACAAAGGGAAAGCTCCGAGCCGGTTTGGCCTAGTCATCTGCGTGATTCTGCTCTCTGCCCTCGCTCCTAGAGGCTGTATGTCAACATTTTATGCAGCATTTATCAACACTGGTCCCTGGCCGGAGCCGTTGCACATGACCCTCGAGAGTTGGTGCAACTCTTCATGTGGAAGGCCAGAGCTTGATAGTAGAATTACCCTAGAGCCAAATGCTAGCAGTTGACTTAAGGTCTTCGGAGTTTTATGTTTCTTCACTCAAGAGCATCACAACCCTTGGGAAACGACACAAACATACATCTCGCATCTACTATATTCGGTGCAGGAGAATGAACGAATCCGGCGAGCATGAGGACTACTGGACGAGCTGCTAGGGAAGAGGACACTGTGAACTAGAAGGAGGCGACCATCTATACACCTCCAACATCTTCATATATTATTGAGTTTTGACGCAAATATGGATGCAGTATCAACTCTCCGTCAGAGTATTTAAGAAATTCAGATATTGCCATGATCATTGTCTATATGAGTTCGTAATGAGGCTTGAGCGTTTCCCACAACTGCTTATGTAGACTGACTGAAAACATCTGCATCCAGTTCTCCGTCCCTGGACTAATCCACCTTAGCCCATTGCTTGCTCAGTTCCCATAGCCTTTCTTCCTTCTTCTTGTCAAACGCCCAACTGCCATAGCCATACTCCACGGCATCTCCATCAGGAGGGCAAGGATGCACTGCGACTGACGCTCCTTCCAGATACAACCCACCGCGGCCCTCCAGCTCACTAGAGGTCGCACCATAAACGGAGGTTGCACAGGCCTGTGCCAGGGTTGTCATATACTTGCACACCCTGGCATCATTCTGGATGGCATCCATCTCCGCCTGTGAGTGCTTTTGGAGGTTGGGACTGACAAATGCCCCGGGATGCACACTGTATCCATGGAGACCCTGGGATCCGTATAACCGTTCAATCTGGGTCGTCATGTAAATGTTGGCTGTCTTACTTGACCCATACGCCAACCAGCCGTTATAGTTTCCCTCGAAGTTGATGTTATCCAGCTGCACTGGCCCGTAGCGGTGGGCTGCGGAGGCGACATTTACAACACGGGAGTGGAAGCTAGGCGTCGAACTCTGCAGGAGGAGGTCTTTCAGACACCAGAAGAGCAGGAAATGAGACAGATGGTTTGTCCCAAACTGTAGCTCGAAGCCATCCTTGGTGCGACCCTCGGGGGTATTCATCACCGCGGCGTTGTTGATCATCACATTGAGCTTGCTGCTTCGCTGGCGGAAGGTGTCCGCGCAGGCCCGGACACTGGCTAAGTCTGTCTGGTCCATGTACAGCAGATGCACACGGCCTGTATCCAGGACAGACCCCAACGCCTCCTTGGCCTTTTCGATATTCCGAGCGGTACCGTAGACAGTCGCCCCGGTTAGGGCCATCACCCGGACAGTTTCGACCCCAATGCCGGACGAAACTCCCGTGATCAGGACAACTTTGTCCCTCCAGCCGTTGACGAGGCCTTCGTCCTGGATGATCTGTTCGCCTGTAACCCGAGAGTCGCCAGGGCCGTTCAGCACTTCCCACCTGTTCCTGTCGGCGTAACGGCCGGAGAGCTGGAATGGGTCGCGAGATGTAAGGGTCATTTTGGTTTTGATTCTTGATGCGATTCAGCACACGATGTTACTTCTGAATTGTTGGTAGATTTGAGGACAAGAGTTGCATTCGTCTGTTGTCAGTTATAGTGTTGTTATGGCTTGCCGTAGCGTAGTGTTCTTTGTTCTCGGAGCAGGCCAGAACAGGGAGTATCCGAGCTACACACCCTCATTAAAAAGCCTCGCTATCCCCTTCTAGGACGGGAACTAGGCCCTTAGGCTTGATCATCTCAAGGTATTATTAATACTGCCGAGTAAATAATGATATCCCTGTCGGCCACGACTGTACTCCGGTCAGACTGGGAGTCCTTCTACCCTGTAGTCGGGGCATTGTATGTTCCAAAATAAACAGTAATCGCAATGCCGGGCTGATCAGATGCTGACACCAGATACTACGCTATTGCCTCGCAATTTGGATCTACAACCTCTACTTTCATCCTCTCGCACATTTCCCTGGCCCACTCCTTGGGCGCGCGTCTTTGGTGAGTCCCTCACCACAGCGGCAACAGTAGACAATTGCAGACGACTGACAACTTGACCAGCTCTGGCGTTTCATCCACACTTCAACAGGAAAGGTTCATCTCTCGATTGAGAAACTGCACAGGCAATATGGTGGGCATATCCCCAATCTTCTGCCTTGGCTCCATGCAACTGTCCAAGTCCTAATGTCGAGAGGCTCCAACAGGCCCAATCGTGCGTGTCTCGCCGAATGAACTGTCCTTTGGCTCCGTCGAGTCCTGGAAAGCAATCTACGGACACCCCACGGGAGATAGGCCCATGCCCGTAAAGGCCGGCTTCTACGATGTATTCAGCGCAGGGTTCAGCCGGAAGGATATTGGCAGCGAGCGGGATCCGCACAAACATGCAGCCATGCGCAGGATGCTGTCCCCGGCGTTTTCGCAGCGCGCCCTACTGGAGCAAGAGAAAATTATCAGCGAGATCATCGACCGCTTCGTACGGATCGTCGGGGAAAAGGCGCCGCCGGGAACCAAGGGCATCAATATGACCAAGTGGTTTGAGATGAGCTCGTTTGACATTCTCGGGGAGATGGCGTTTGGGGAGTCCTTTCATAGTCTCGAAGCGGGTAGGTTTTTTTGCATTCTTTACGTTTGACAAAGGCATATACTCACCTGAATCAGGCAAACCGCATTTCTGGGGTGATCTCATTGTGGAGCATCTGTATTTCATCACTCTCGTCGACAACCTCAGACGGATCGGCGCAATTGCAACTCTCTTCCGATACTTGATTCCATCATCTGTTCTCACTCAGAGCAAGAATTCGCAATACAGTCGAAACCAAGTTGAAAAGTACGTCTCCATCGCCCTGCCGGTCCCCTGGCCCTAAACGTGATCCTGCAATACCATATTGACGCTGATCTCTAAACAGATGCTTGGCCTCGAAGGCTTCGCGGAAGGAGTTTGTAAGTCTGTTAGTTGAAAAAGTTCTCAAGGGAGAAGTAGAAGAAAGAGGAGATGGCGGCTCATGTGTCCACCTTTGCGTATGTCCTAGGCTCCTAGCGTCCTGGGTCCGCTATGGGACGCACTAACAGGATCACTGCAGTATTGCTGGCGGAGAGACCGTCTCAACCTTCCTAGCAGGGACCACCTGTTTTCTCCTGCAACATCCCGACAAGCTGGATCGCCTTGTCTCGGAGATTCGAGGGGCATTCCAGTCCTATGATGAGATCAAAGCACAGGCGGCCCAGCAGCTGCCATACCTGCAGGCAGTCATCAACGAAGGCCTCCGGCTTTGTCCTCCCGGCTCGCAAGGATCTCCACGCATTTCTCCCGGTTTCGAGCTACACGGCCGGTATATTCCAGAAGGGGTATGAGTTCCTGCAGTCTGTCTCTTCTACTCTTTCTGACTTCGACGTGCAGGCCGAAATCTACACCAGTCCATGGACAACGGCGCATGATCCCAAGTACTTCGCCAATCCCATGGAATTCATTCCAGAACGCTGGTTGGATCCATCCTCAAGGGATATCAAGGAAGCGAGCCAGCCTTTGTTGCTAGGTCCCAGAAGCTGTATCGGGAGAAAGTGAGGATTTCTGACTTCAGATTAACCTCCCCGTCAAGTGCTAACATGAACAGCTTTGCATACATGGAGATGAATCTGCTGATGGCCAAATTATTCTGGACGTACGACTTGGAACTCGTGAACAAGAATATCAACTGGCTTGCAGAGGGCCAAGTTCACGTCTTGTGGTGGAAACCCAAGTTGTTCATTCGCTTCCACAAGCGAGCAACCTAGTCTGCTCTCCTGGTCCATCTTCATGCATAGATGACTTACTTGGTCGTCGACTAATGAATAGAAAGCAATCTTATCAAGGAAAGAATTCAACGAATTGCTAAATGTTCTGAGTGACACAACACGATTGACCAGTTGCAAGGTCCACAACGCGGATCTCCTTTCCCTCTGTTTGAGGAGCGGAAAGAGTCCGTGTTTTGAGTATACACTGTAAGAGTACCCTGGGCGTTTGGAGTTTACTTCGAGCGCTTAGGTGCCTCGAATAGGGTTCTGGGAGGATTGTGATGCCCAGCATAATCTAAGGGAAGACTGGAAGGTAGACAATCTCCGTAATACCCTTATACTCCCGACTTGACGTGTCATATCACTTGACCTTCGACCGGTCGATCTCGTGTTCTCGCCTCTTTTTTCCGATGAGGTTAGCTCCTCGCGGAATGGCGTAAAGCCAGTCTGGATGGCTGAAAATCCGGCGGACCGACTCATCGCACCCTTCCGAACCCAAGGATCTTGGCGGGTGTTTCAAGCATGACCAGCCATTGCGGTCATATTCAGCTCGCTACCGGCGAGTCGGTAGTTACGTCTTAAGTCCGATGACTCCGCCCCATGGGTAAAGGAGCTTGGACCGTGCTGTGTGGATTTTTCTAGCATGGCTGAATCATGCTACGTAGTCTAGCGGTAGTTACTTAGTTACCATGGGATACCTAAAGGCTGGGAAGCTCAAAAGCTGAGCATATTCCATTTGTTGATAGTGGCTGATGACTCATGAATTGTAGCCTAGAATCTGATAGCACAAGGATACTGCTGTGTTGACCAATTAGGCTTCCAGCATAGCCACATATTATGACTTGTAACCGAAGTGGAACCTGAAACCAGAAGTGCACTCCGTAGACTACTTACTCTACTGGGTAAGCTACCGGATGGTTCCAGAATCTGCCGTCTCCCTATCCCTGAAGTTGGACAACAAAGAGAACCACTTACTCAAGTCACTCAAATCCATGAATCAATCCAACTTAGTTTATTTGCTTTGAAATACAGATTTCAAAACAATCTGCCAGCGAAGAAGTCAATGAAATAATAATTCCCAGGGATGACTCACGGCGCAAAAGCCTCATTGGTCATCGATCTGGCGCCGAGTCTGGCCGACCCGACCATTGGCTCCTTGTTTTCCAGGTTCACCCTCGTATTTGGGTCCTAGACTCATTGGACTCAGGACCGGAAAATTTGGTAATGCAGAAGGTCATCGGTCTTTTCTGCGGCCGATGTCCGATGTCAGAAGTTTCCTGTCAGGGTAAAGACGATCCAGGAGTGGCTCATTTTTTCGTATAGGAGATTAACGTTGTGGTCATGGACGGCCGTGAGCCTCCTAAAAAAAAAAATTCCTGTGACGTGGGTAAACCGATTCCTCCGTCCCCCCGACCTAGCCCGTAATTACGGAGTCGTCCATCTGGAGGAGACAGCGAGAAAACTCTTATATAATATCTCAAGAGCTGTCTTTGTGTAGTCAGTTTGTCAGTTTTCTCAATCGAGGTGAACATAACACAGGACTTCTGGTATCCTTCCTTTTTCGCTTGAAGGAATCAGCTTGCGCGGGTACATCTTATCTTGCCCATCACACCCAGCATAGATATCTCAGCAACAGACGAATCAAAATGACAGGGTCAGCGTCCAGCGTCACGGACGTCGACGTCGACATCGAGAACGTCCCGAAGGAGAAACTGGACGTCAAAGAAACCGAAGAACAACCTGAGATCGAATACCCTGCACTCTCCAAAGTCGTCGTCATCATCCTCGGTCTGTATCTAGCGGTCTTCCTGGTAGCCCTCGACCAGACCATTATCGGAGTCGCCATTCCCAAGATCACCGATCAGTTCAAGAGTATTGAAGACATTGCCTGGTATGGCAGTGCCTACTTCCTCACGTCGACGGCGCTGCAACCGTCGTACGGCCGCATCTATAAGATCTTTAGTGTTGGTTTTCCCTTCGTGCTGCATGTGCTGACTTGCTGGGTCGTTGCTAATGGGTGAAACCTGTATAGGTCAAATGGGCCTTCTTGATAGCCGTCCTCATCTTCGAAATCGGATCGCTCATCTGCGCTGTTGCTCCGTCGAGTACCGTTTTGATAGTTGGCCGAGCCATCGCGGGTATCGGTGTTGCGGGTATCTTCTCCGGAGCCATGGTCATCATCTCAGTGACTGGTAGGTCATTCTGCGTAGGGTCTGGGGAAAAGACGCCAATCTGACTCTGAATAGTCCCTTTGCCTAAGCGACCTCTTGTGTTCGGTATGTTTGGCATGGTCTGGGGTATTGCCTCGATTGCCGGACCCTTGCTCGGCGGTGCGTTCACCGATGGTGTTTCATGGCGCTGGTGCTTCTATATCAAGTGAGTGGCGCCGCATGCCCTTTTCCACCCCCTGACAAAAGATACTGACTGCTGCAGTCTTCCCATTGGAGGTATCTCGCTCGCCGTCATCCTGTTTGTTCTCCGACTCCCCGATAAGAACGAGTTCTCCGGCACTCCCATCCTCGAGCGGATCCGGCAGCTGGACCTTATCGGCGCCGGTCTACTCATCCCCGCCATCATCTGCCTCTTGCTCGCCTTGCAGTGGGGAGGAAACAAGTACCCCTGGAACAACTCGCGGATCATCGGCCTGTTCGTCGGCTTCGGCGTCATGGCTATCCTCTTTGCATTCTCGCAGGTCAAGATGGCCGACAAGGCCACCCTGCCCCCGCGCATGTTCAAGAACCGCTCCGTCCTGGCCGCCACGCTCTATGCACTGTTCTTCGGCGGTGCCTTCTTCGTCCTCGTCTACTACCTCCCCATCTTCTTCCAGAGTGTCAAGGATTCCTCCGCCATGAAGTCCGGCATCCAACTCTTGCCCCTGATGCTAGCCACCGTCGTGTCCTCGATTGTCATGGGCGGCGCCGTCACCGTCGCGGGCTACTACACGCCGTTCCTGATCGGTAGCTCCGCCATCGCCGCCATCGGAGCCGGTCTCATCACCATGTACGAGATCGACATCTCCACGGGCAAGTGGATCGGCTACCAGATCGTCCTGGGTGCAGGCGTCGGCGCCGGCTTCCAGATTCCCATGACGGCCGTCCAGACCGTTCTGCCCGCAGAGGATATCCCCATCGGCACGGCGGCGGTCATGTTCTTCCAGACACTGGGCGGCGCGCTGTTCATCGCGGTGGCGCAGTCCGTGTTCCAGAACGGCCTGATCTCCGGGTTGGCCAAGTATGCCCCCACTGTTGACCCGGCGGCGATTGTCAAGGCAGGTGCCACGGAGATGAGACCCGTCCTGATTAAATTGGGCCAGCTGGATCAGCTCATGAACGTGATCAAGGCCTACATGGATGGATTGCGGGCTTCATATCGGGTCAGTTTGGCGCTGGTGCTGGTCGCGTTTGCCGTCAGCTTGTTGATGGAGTGGAAGAGCGTCAAGACGGCGAACAATGGAGAGAAGAAGGATGTTGTGGTGGCTGCCATCTAGGTTGTCATCCACTGACTTTTTCATCTTCGTTCTTTCGTTTTGCATTCTCCAGGCAAAAAAATCAACATAGATCCAGATTGTTAGAAAACTGGCGGGAATGGGGGCGGATGGGTTTCTTATTAACTAACGACCTGATTCATGATATGTACTTAATTATGCACTTCTATTTAAATTATACTAATGTCTACTCCACTCGATTTCTCCTGTGCCAGATATCTGCTCCGGAGCCTCCGGAGTTCCCAGTTGTAAATAGTTTATGCTAGCAGTTTGGTGCATAAGGCCATGCATGCCATGCATTGTGCTGCCTGGATAAAATGGCACCTATTCTGCCGAGCATTTGTACTCCAACTTGTCCAGTGCCCAGAGTCCAAGACAGCCAGACTATTCCATCCAGCGTACCCAAGCGGTGGAGTCGGTCTTGGCTGTTGCATTACATCCTGATTAGAATTTTGAATGTAACTAATACTGAATAGTCAGAGTAGAATTAAGCGTTGATGTAGCATCTAGATGTGAGATGGGTGATTGAATGGTGATGTGATATTATCACTATTAACTATTACTTGATTACTGCATGGATTCATAGACGGTGGCTGGTGGCTGGTGGTATCTACATGATTCAGGCAAATAAGAGTACCGAGAAAGCCGATTTTGATGGCTGATGCTGCTCCTGGTCTAGTTCCTTGGCAGTAATTTCGTGCGTCCCTCTCCTCCGCCAGGGATGAATATTTGGACTCAGGTATGTCAGGATCAGGATAATAATAATGGACAGTGCGACGCTCTCAGTGGATGTCCTGATGCATTATGGTTGCCTTGCCTTTCAACCAACTTATCCAGCTGAAGTAGTTACTGTAGTACTGTCGTAGTAGTAGGATCAAGAGGAGCACCGCCAAGTGGAGCGAACAAAACCGGCAAGTTGGCATGCGACGAAGGGGACTAGAGATCCTTGATGGGGATCAGCCATGGTTCCTCACCAAATCACATCCTTGTCTTCCGTTCTGGGAGATCTTTGGTGGTGTCTAGTCTATCCGATGATCACATCCCAGTACGAGCGTGAACTCCGAACCCTCTTTTTCCTTCTCCTTCTTCTTCTCCTGACCTCTTATCCTGATGGTTGTGGATAGCTCAGTCCCTCATGATGTAATACTCCGCCTGCATTTCACTTCCTCAACCACGGAATACTCTCTCATCCCTCTGTCACTCCTTGCCTTGTCACCCCCTATCACCAACTGTCCTACTCCAGCTTCAAGTGGATCGATCTCCCTTTGCCCCCCCCCGTTTTGGGAGAATCTTGGGGGAAAAAGAGCCATGCCGGCGGAGTCGTCGGATCAACCACTGGGGACTGACTGGACCATTGCGAGGCTTCCTACTTTCTACTTAACTATCTGTTATTCTGATCGTCCTCGCCTATTCCTTCTTAGTCTTTCTTTCTTGCTCTCGCTCTAATTCCTCGTTCTCTATCTAATCTAATCTTATTGCATTAATAGTCACATCCTTATATACTATCGCTACCCTTGACAGCCGTAGGCACTGCAGTCTAATTGTACTAATTCAGGGCACGCGATCACGACATTTTCCATTTACTCCCAATTGCACAGTTGTATATCCATCAATTGGCTGCAGATTATTCTGTTTACCACTCACTGTCGAGCGATATCCAGTGGCGCATTCCGACAATCCAGTATGCGAACAGAGACGTGACATCCGCCGGCCTCAGATACCCCTTCTTGACCACTTCGTTCCTCAGCGGCGCTATTCACAGCAGACATGATCACTTTGATTCTGCGGCTCATCATTCTTGCGATATGGTCGGCAGAGGCCGTTGCATCTCCCGTCCCTTTCTCCGACCAGGACAGCAGCAAGCAAGAGCATGTCAACCATGGCAAGATCCTCACTCACGAACCTGAATACGATCCCCTGTGGGAGAAGTACGGGCTAAACAAGTCGCAAGAGTTCAAGTACTTTCATGAACCAGGCAATGACGATATCCTGGGCCACTACGACACGCGCTTCTTCACAGAACCAGTCCCGGACAAAGAGCGCTCCGAGACCATGACGCATATGATTCGCGCATATCTCAACTTCTTCAATGAGCATGGCCTGGAGACTTGGATTGCGCATGGAACATTACTCGGGTGGTGGTGGAATGGCAAGGTATTTTACGTCGGCATGCAACTTCAGGGACTGTAGCTAACGCCGGCGATGCGTGCAGATTCTGCCGTGGGACTGGGATATTGATACACAAGTGCTGGATACCACCCTGCTGCGCCTGGCTGACAAGTTCAACCAAACCGTCGTCCACTACACGGCTGCCGACTCGGACGTGGAGCGCAGCTACCTCATCGACGTCAACCCCTGGGCTCGACAGCGCGAACAGGGGCAGGGACTCAACATTATTGATGCGCGGTGGATCGACAGGCGGACGGGTCTCTACATTGACATCACAGGACTGAGTAGGCTGGAGCCGGAGAAACCCAGTCTGTGGCAGGACAAACACGACCACAAGTATCAGATAGGGGACATCTACCCCCTGCGCAAGACGACTTTTGAAGGCGTACCGGCCAAGATCCCCTTCGACTATGACTCCGTCTTAATCGGAGAATATACTCAGAAAGCGTTGACGAGCACCGAGTACCACAAGTAAGTATTCTCCTGAAGATTTTTTACACCCAAACCTCGTGGCTAATTGATACAGTCATACATGGTATCCTGACTTGGAGCAATGGGTTTCTGACAACGACAAAAACGCCAAAGACAAGCTGAACGACGATCGCCAATATGAGAGGCGGTGATTGCGACATCGTTCTTCCTCAAAAGCAATCGAGTCATCCCAGATATGGCCATTATCTTCACATACTGTGGACATGGATCTTCATTCGCATATAGCATGTTTCCCACTGATCTGCCGAGGAGCTTTTTTGCGTGCTTTCACGATTTACCTCTGGCACATGGGCTGGTGTTTTGGTGTTCTTTGACATTTCCTGCTGGTGTATTCTACATCTAACATCATGTACATAGCCAGACGCAATTCAGCGTCACTTCGTTGCATAATCCTGCATCACGAATACTCGAGAAGCCATTGCATTCACACTTGAATGTTCCAGATCGTCCGTAAAAGTTCCGCCAGGGGTAACTCCACGCAACCGTTAGCTAAATACCAGAATACCGAAAACAGCATAGCGATCAACTTCAGCCACTAGTGCGCAGTTAGAGTAAATTAGATTGCGCTGATCACACGAGCTCAGGGGGTTTGTTCCCTGTCTCCTGCAGGACTCGGGACTCACGAGTCAAAGCACTTAAGTCATGTGATCCTATCGGCTTATCTCTTATCTCCGCGCTGACAAACGCAATCGCCGTGGAACGTAATCGAAGTGTTGCCTCGGACCATATATTCAACTCCAAATCTTGCATCCAGTCCCTTCACTACACTTTGGTTCCACCAAGAATCGGGCTCAAATCTTGACTGGAAAGAGCTGCATCATGACCGACTCATCAACGCCAGATCTGAACCTAACGGTCCACCACCATGGCAAACCACACACCTTCACCCTACCCCAGACGCAACCCTGCAGGACCTCTCCTTCACCATCGCCGACACCCTCAACATCCCCATCGAGAACCAGAAACTCCTCATCGCCCCGAAACCAGGCATACAAAAGCACCCCTTCGCGCCAACCCCGCTCTCAACCCTCCTCCCGCTCACCTCCCCAAATTCAAACTCACCCTCCTCGGCACCCCAGCCCAGGAAATCGAGTCCCTGAACGCCCAGACAGCCGAAACCCGCCGTCGCCTCGAAGCCCGCGCCGCCGCCGCAGCAAAACACCGGGCTAAACGCCCGGCCCCAGCTCAGCAAGCGGCATCCACACCCTCTCAAGCGCCGGCAGCAACACCTACACCTTCCACCGCCTCCTCCCGCTCTCGTACCTGCCCAACCCGTCGCGGTCGCTGGAGTTCCTGGCCCGCCTGCGCGACGACCCGGGCATCCGCGCCGCCATGGCAAAGCACCGCTTCTCGGTCCCGCTGCTGACGGAGATGGATCCGGCGGAGCATACCACGAGCGAGTCGCGCACGCTCGGCCTGAACCGGAATAAAGGCGAGGTGATCGAGCTGCGGCTGCGCACGGATGCGTACGACGGATACCGCGATTACCGGACGATTCGCAAGACGCTGTGCCATGAGCTGGCGCACTGTGTGTTTAGCGAGCATGATCGCGATTTCTGGGATTTGACGGCGCAGATCGAGAAGGAGGTTGAGCGGGCGGATTGGAAGCATGGGGGAAGGAGGTTGACGGATGAGGAGTTTTATAACCCCGGGGATTGGGAGCGGGAGAAGGATGCGACTGTGGTGGATGAGAGGGGGTGGACTGGGGTGAGTTTGTGCTCGGGGGTTGAGGGATGAGAGCGGTGGTGTGGAAAGTCGGCGTGAGATTATCGCTCGCGCGGCGGAGGAGAGGATGCGGAGAGAGCGAGAGAGGGAGAGGGGAGGAGCACAGGGAGGTGATAGATGATGTTCCTTTCGAAGATGGACCTACGACCATGGGGCATGATGTGACGATTTTAATACCCTTGCATTTTTGTATTTGCATTTGGAAAGATTTGAGATAGATATATATATACATTAAATCTGCTCGTTCACAAACAAACCAGCCATTCCCTGACCAGTGCCGATGCACATACTCGTAACCAGGATCTTGCTCTTCGTCCGCCGCGCTTCGCTGAGAATCGTGCAGATCTGACGAGCACCCGTCGCGCCCAGCGGGTGGCCGAGCGCAATGGCACCACCGCGCGGGTTGACCTTGGCATGGTCCAGACCGAGGTTCTTCAGGCAATACACAGCCATCGAGGCAAAGGCCTCGTTGATCTCGTAGATGTCAATGTCATCCTTGCTGAGGTTGAACTTGGATAGCAACTTGGGGATCGCCGCGGTGGGACCGATGCCCATCACGCGGGGCGGCACACCTGCGACAGTCGCGCCGCAGAACTTGGCCAGGATGGGCTGGTTGAGCTCGATGGCCCTGGAGCGGCGCATGAGCAGGATAGCAGCAGCTGAACAATTTTTTCATCAGTCCATCGAACATGAGACGCAGTTGGAAAAAAGGGGTTGTGTAAGGCTTTTACCTCCATCAGTAACCTGACTGGCATTACCACCCGTCGTCCGGTTTCCAAACTGCGGGAACGCAGGGCGAATCTTGTTCAGCGCTTCAACAGTGGTACCATACCGAATGCCCTCGTCGCGGGTAAGAGTCACAGTCTTGACCTCCCCAGTCTTGGGATCCTTCACCTTAGTCGTGATGGGGACGATCTCATCATCGAACCAGCCCGCCTTCTGCGCCGCCTCGGCCCGCCGGAACGACTCCGCCGCGTACGTGTCCTGCATCTCGCGCGTGATGTTGAAGTCCGCGCCCACGTTCTCCGATGTCTGGCCCATCGGCTGCATGCAGTCCGCCGCCTCCTGGTTCTTGAGCACCTCCTCGTTGAACGGCTGCGGGAGCCGGTCGCCGCCCGCTGACATCAGCTCCGCGCCGACCGCGACGCCCACGTCGATCGCGCCCAGCTGGATCTGGTTCGCGATGTCTTGCACCGCCTTGAGACCCGACGAGCAGAACCGGTTGACCGACGACGCGCCGGCTGTGTGGGGGATCCCCGCGGCGAGAGCGGCCGCGCGCACGAGGTAGGCGGCTTTGCCGTCGTTGACCTGGACACCTGTCATTTGGGTTTCCCGACCATACAAGTGAGACAAAGTTGAAAAAAACGTACATTGCCCAGACAGACGTCCTCGATGAGCGCAGGGTCGAGCTTGGACTTCTGCACTACCTCTTTCAACAGAGTGTAGATCATGTAGTCCAGCTCGGTATCCTTGAAGCCGCCCTTGGCAGCCTTGGTAAGCGGCGTCCGCAGCGCAAGGGTGATGACAACGTCATCGGGGTTCTTCTGGGTGCTGGCGTTGGTCAGTATGTGATGATGATCCGCGGTTGGGCCAGGGATGAAGCATACATGGCGGAGACTCCGCTTCCGCCGGAGGGGCGGAGGTGGTTCAGAAGTGAGCTTAGGCGATCTGCGGCCATTGTGACGGTAATTCTATGGGTTGTAAGTGCGAGTCGACAGTAGGATAGAGATCATAGAACAACAACGGTGAATGGCAAAGAAGGATCAGGGTGATCATTCATCACCTTGGGTCTGCGGGGAAGCTCAAGTATGCAGAGCTCTGACTAATGGGGAAGACTCGGGGCAAGTCAAGTATGACTTACGGGGTATATATTCAGAAGTCGAGACTGAAGGAGGAAAGGGAATCGCAGGAGATTTTTGAGCAGGGAATCAGAAGATATCAAGTGTTGTGGAAGAAGAGGCAAAAGTTGAGGTTTATCTACTGCTGCAAAGCCGAGCGGGAGCCGAGGCTCATCATGTCCAAGCGCATCCGACACGTACCCAGACTTTGTTTCACCGCACCCAGTAGGTGGTACACCTGGTACAGTGACTTTTCATTTCTCTTACCCGAGATTATGCGATTCTCAAGGTTAAAGCAGACTTCGTATTCGTTTTCTAATCAAAACTCGCTCCGAAACAGTTGGGTAGCCTATTATCTACATCGACCTCCTCGGAAATTAGAGCAAACTAAAATGATACCCCTAGTATAACGCCAAAGACCACAAACCCCATCCAGCCAGATCCAAGTATTCCGTACAAATGCCCTAGTATCCCAGTCCATAGTTCCAGCTATCTCTTGCGCTTCAAAATCCGTGGTGACCCAAGTCTTCGTTGCTAATGACACTACCAACCTCCGACCAACTGGCCGGAGTGGCAACACCACCAATGGACCTTCCGAGGTCACTGAGAGTGCCATCCGACGTTGCGTCCTCAGCGGACTCATAAACATGGCTGAAACTATCAACGGTAGACGGCGTAGATGAGCGTTCTTGCTGCTCGAAACCCGTGGTATTCAGTTCGGATAGGTCAGAGAACGGCGATCGGAGCTCGCGATTGCTGTCTATCAGTGATGATTCAGGGTGCTCATAGATGGTTTGAGATCCTTCCTCAGTATGACTTGACGCAGACATTCGTTCTTGATCCGTTGCGGAAGAAAGCACAGACCGCTCGGCTTCTTCCGAATTGTCACCAGTTGAGGCGAAAAAGTCTATATCTGTATCATCAGAAGTAGGAGTGAGATCGACAAGAGACGCGGAACGGTTGCCAGTAGATGGAATCTCTAAATGTAGTTTATCACTGTCGGCCATGGTGTCCGCCGGTCTGATTTCGCTCACGGAAGCCGACACACCTGGCTCTGTGGCTCCACGGTGGACAAGCTGCGATGAGGGCAAGTCCACGGCGGTCGAGTTTGCAAGTGTGCTGTCAGTCGGCTCCCGACCGTCCGACCGCAACAGATTTCCATTTTCGTCCACAAGGGCGTCGAAAGATCCAAACAAACCACCCTGACATCGCTTCCGACGTCCTTCGAGAGCAGCAGCTCTCTTCTGGATTTCCTCGCGAGCAATCCGTCTCCGTTCTTCTGCCGCCGGACCTACCTCTTCCGTCATAGAAATATCTTCCCTGGGGGAAGATGTCGAGCCTCGAGGTTGAATTTCATCTCCGAGATTGTGTAAAGCCACCGCAATTTTACGACGAGACTTGTTCACCCATTCTTGGAACTGTGGCGATTCATAGACCGCTATACCAGCAGCGACGAGCGCTGCAACGGTTATGATTATCCCTTCATCATAGAGTTAGCGAAGTCCAACAGTCAAAAAAGAATTTCAATCCAGAAGGCCGAAGTTATCGAGCTGCCAAAGCGATGTCCGATTCACCATGTTGACAGCATAGTAGTATACTGATAAGCACACCGCCCAGCTAGTAAGGGACAGTGTAGAATCCCGGAGGCAAGAATGGACAAGTGACTTCTGTAAGGAGATAAGTTATCATACCTTTTGCGACTGGCGAAGGCATCTTGACCACCTGTGCCCCTTCTTCTTTGTTCAGTTCCTCCTCATCTTCACATCGCAGGCAGAAGAATAAATGACTGATAACAGGTGACGCCGTCATCCCGCGCTTCCCCGCGGCGCCCCACGTGACGTCGGCAACCCTTATCCACCAGCCCTATCTATCACCCGCTTTTGGGCATCCCGTGTTTTGTCCCCCGCGTCTCGACGTCAACAATCAACCCCAAAGATCGATACCAGGATCCAGGCGTATCATCAAAGGTCGAACAATCGCTTTCCAAAAGTCAAGCCAGCATTATGTCTCGGCCGTCATCCATTTCTCAGCGTCCCCTGACGCTGACGGAGGAATTGGAGAAGCTCGAGCAATCTATCACTCTAACCCTGCAAGGTAAACAAACAATGACCGTTGACCAGTTGCCTTCATTCTAAGCTGATCTGATGTCTCCCAATCGAACAGAAATCGACCATAACTTCAGCCAAGCTCACCGAATTGTGACAACGAGTATTCTCCCTCTAGTCGAACAATATGCGGAACATTCAAGAGATGTCTGGGAGGGTGCAAAGGTTGGATACTCGGAAGAGTTGCATTTCGGTCAAAGCTAATATGCGACCAGTTTTGGAAACAATTCTTCGAGGCCAGCGCCAATGTCTCGCTTTCCGGTTACGAAGAGAGGCCCGATGAAGATACAACACAAGATCAGACAGTGACAGAGGATTCCACAGACGTTACACACAGCAACCTTACCGATACGGTGTCCTACGAAACGCCATGCTCTGAACGCCACGACCATAGGGCTGACGACCTCGAGCTCACATCCCTCGGCGTATCCTCTCACAGTACGCCTCGAGTAGCAACCCATGAGAGACCACATGAAGACACGACAATCACCTCCGCTGTGTCATACACATCCCCCTACGAAGCACTCAAGCAGGAGATCCACGAAACCGATCCCCCGTTCGATATGGACGACTCCAACCTCCCCAGCACGCCAGGCCGTTCTCCAAGACTACAAGACTACGAGGGCAACCCAGCCGACACCCTCATGTCCTCTTCGCCGTTCGTTCCGCCCGCCTCACACGAACAACCCTCAGGCGCCCGCCGCAACCCACACCAAAACACATCGGACCCCGTTATGCACAGGGTCCTCGACAAGACCTACCGCGTGCAAGCCACCCCTCTAGGCAAAGGCTACAGTACCGCAGCCAGCCGCTCCAAGTTCACCGTCACCCCGAAATTATCCACATCGAAATACGCGTTCGACGACTCTCCGATCTCCAGTCCAGAGCCCGAAGCGCCGCAACTACACGCGGAGATTTTCTCCTCTCCTCTCAAAGCCACAACTCCCGGTACCGGCCGTAAGCGGCGTCCCAGCGGCCACCTCCGCATCACCCCGAAGCCGGGAATGAGCGTTTTGACTCCGGCCAAGAACGGAGGTGGCAAGCGTTCTGCCTGGGACAGCGATGAGGAATTTGCCGACGAAGAGGATGAGAACTTTGGACCGAGTCCGCCCAAAACAATGCAATTCCATATTCCACAGAGCCGACTCATGAAGACGCCGGGTATGTACCACCCTCCACTTGTATGTGTACAGCATGGTGCTAAATTAGAGATATCCAGCCAAAGAAGCATCCAAACGTATTGTTGAGGACTTGTTATTCACTGCTGGTGTGAACGACACAACGGACGATATCATTGATGAGCAGAGTCC